GGCCCTCAGGGTCGAGTTTTCCCGTGGCTGCAGCCGGCGGAGCGCAGGCACCCACAGCCTGAGGACCCAGCTGGCGCCTCCGGAAACCAGCGACGGGCGAGGGCGTGGTCCTTCCCCGGACTTGGGTGCTGGAGCTGGGCGTTGGGGGCGCAGTTCTCCTTTACTGTTGCCACTTAACCCGTTATTTACACACTTTGCGCCACCGAGTTTTCCGAGGGAAGGCAGGTATCTCTGTGAAGAGGAAAATTTCTTCGCTTACCCAGCGTTGGCACTTGGGACCCTGACCAGTTGCCCAGTGCCAACTAGGGTGGGGCATTTCCTGGCCCTATTGGGCTGGTGTTTTGTTTTTGGCGGCTCTCCTCATTCCGGAGACACCTGACAGCAGAAGGAACTTGTTAGGACAGTACTTGACTTTGCAACTTCTGTTGAACAGATTCCCACTTTACAACTGCGAGGGGTTTGGATGGAGTAACTGGCTTAAATGCATGTGAGACTTGGAAAGCGGGGGGAGGGGGGGGTCTGTCTCAGCACAGTCTGGGATGTGTGGGTTCTTGACTTCCTGCAAGAAAGAATTCAAGACAGGCTAGGTCAGTGGTCGGCAAACTGTGGCCCCTTGAGTGTGGCTCTTCCCCAAAATACCACGTGCGGGCGCGCATGTACAGTGCGATTGAAACTTCGTGGCCACACTCAAGGAGCCAAATAGCCGCATGTTTGCCGACCACTGGGCTAGGTGATTTTGAGAGTGTTTGCCCCCTGGTGGTTAGTGTGTGTCATAGTGACCAGTCGGACGGTCAGACACTTAGCATATTAGCCTTTTACATATATCTATATATATAAAAACGTAAGTAACTATTACGACCAGTCCACCAAATGACCGGTGGACTGCTCAACCAGTCGCTATGATGACACACTCAATGCAGGAGCTGCCCCCTGGTGGTCAGTGTGCTCCCACAGCCAACCTCCCACAGTCTCTCTCCCCGCTGCTAGCCAACCTCCTGCCGTCCCTCCCCTGGCCAGACAGATCTGATCGCCCCGATTGGCCTGATCGCAGCCAGGCAGAGGCACCACACCCATGCACGAATTCGTGCACCAGGCCTCTAGTAATGTGTAAATGTTAGATGAGGATATTAGAGTAGTATAAAGTAGTCAGATGATGAGAAAAATTTGTTTGCTAAACCTAGGCCTTAGAAAACCATTGAAGCAAAATTTCAAGCAAGGAATAAACTTCACACCTCTTTAGGAAAAGTTACTGTGGTCAGTAAAGAGATTACTTTAGAGGTGGAGCAAACCCAGAGGCAGTTATCAGGTAGCTAAAGCAACAACCCACAATCTACACTGCTGCCAAAATACTTTTCTAAAGAGGTCTCCTAGCCCTAGCTGGTTTGGCTCAGTGGATAGAACGTCGGCCTGTGGGCTAAAGGGTAACGGGTTTGATTCTGGTCAAGGACACAGATGGGTTGGGGGCTCAATCCCTCGTAGGGAGCATGCAAGAGGCAGCCCATCAATGATTCTCTCTCATCATTAATGTTTCCATCTCTCTCTACCTCTCCCTTCCTCTCTGAAATCAATAAAAAAATATTTTTTTAAAAAAAAAGAGGTCCTAAGACAGAATGCTAAACTTTTGGAGTCAAAACATAGTTTACAGATAGATGTTCTAATTCAATTCTCTCAATTTATACCAGGGGACTAGAGACTGAACAGAGTAAAGGGACTTGCCTGTGACCTCATAGATAGTGTTAGAACAAATAGTACTAGAACTCATCTTACATACTATACTTAAACCTTCCCAAAAACATTCATGGAGTTACATTCTTTGCAATTTAAACACAAATGCCCAAAGGCTGGTCTCTTATTCCTTTGGAATATAGGTTCTATTATGTAGCTGGACAAATCGTCCCAGAGCAGCCTCTGCAGTTCTTCAATTCCTGCTTAGCATCTGCTCTTTAGGATTCCTTGGAGCTCAACTCTGTACTTTTTTTTAAAATTTTTTTTATTGACTTCAGAGAGGAAGGGAGAGGGAGAAAGAGATAGAAACAGCCTATATAATAAAGAGGTGATATGCAAATTGACCCTCACACCATCACACAAATGGCCACTCCCTTGTAGTCAAAGATGGCCACCACAAGATGGCCAGCAGGAGAGGGTAGTTGTGGGTGATCAGGCCTGCAGGGGAGGGCAGTTGAGGGTGACCAGGCCTGCAGGGGAGGGCAGTTGGGGGCAACCAGGCTGGCAGGGGAGGGCAGTTGGGGGCAACCAGGCTGGCAGGGGAGGGCAGTTGGGGGCAACCAGGCTGGCAGGGGACCCAGCCTGCACAGGAGGGCAGTTGCGGGGGTCCAGGCCTGCACAGGAGGGCAGTTGGGGGGACCAGGCCTTCAGGGGAGGGTATTTGGGGGCTACCAGGCCTGCAGGGGAGGGTAGTTGGGGGGACCAGGCCTCTAGGGGCAGGCAGTTGGGGGCAACCTTGCTGGCAGGGGAGGATGGTTGGGGGCAATCGGGCCAGCAGGGGAGCAGTTAGGCGTGACAGGCTGGCAGTGGAGTGGTTAGGAAGTGATCAGGCTGGCAGGCAGGCGAATGGTTGGGAGCCAGCATTCCCGGATTGTGAGAGGGATGTCCGACTGCCGGTTTAGGCCCGATTCCACATTGGGCCTAAACCAGCAGTCAGACATCCCCCGAGGGGTCCCAGATTGGAGAGGGTGCAGGCTGGGATGAGGGACAACCCCCGCCCCCCCCCCCGTGCACGAATTTTGTGCACCGGGCCTCTAGTCAATGATAAGAGAGAATCATTGATCGGCTGTCTCCTGCATGCCCCCTACTGGGGATGGAGCCCGAAACCCAGCATATGCCTTGAGTGGAATCGAACTGAGGACCCTTGGCTGACACTCTATCCACTGAGCCAAAACCAACTCAACTCTGTACTTTAAAACATGATATTTCATCTAGCACTTTTTGTAAGAAAAATCTTACATTAGCTTGTCCAAAATATTGCTATATGATTACTTATTTAATGCCTGTCTTCATCATTAGGCTACAGGCTTCCTGGGGACAGGTATTGAGTCATTGCTGTTATATTCAAGGCCTACGGTAGTGTTCACATTTAGTAGGTATTAGTGATAACCTGAACGGTGAGCCAGGTTTC